ATCACATCAAAAACATGCCTGTCTTTCTGAACATAATGAGCTGAAGATCAGTGTATTTGCTCAGATCTGTGTGTGACCCATGTTTCCCCATATCCACCCTCTCACATACATGCCTGGTAAACACAGTACATCCAGCAATAAATATGCTGCAGAAGCTTAGAGTAAACAGAAAAAGCACGAGATAATTCAAAACACAGCCTTCCTAATTCAGCAAGAGCAGGTCTGCTCACAATAGTTGAGAAACTAGAAATCCAGCGGCACTGGCCTGACAAAAACAGGATGTACAGTACGGTGCAGAAGTCAGAGACCACCCTTGGTTTATTTAAAAGTCAAAACTCTCACATTAAATATATGTCCCATTGTTTAGTGTGTCCACTCTTCACCTTTATTACAGCTTCCATTCTTTTTGGTACTTCCTTTCAGTTTTTCAAAGAAATATGCAGGGATATTTTTCCACACCTCTAAAGTTCAGTCTTAGATGTTGGTTGCATTTTTTGCTCCTCATGAACCAAGTAATGTCAAAAACATTCAGTGATGTTAAGGCTGGTCAGTCCATTGTTCTTAGAACACCAGCAGCTTCTTTGCTTGAATTTTTTTTATTTTTTGTCTATTTTCTTTTCTCAGTAAGGTCTTCTTAACCGCTACACATCTTTTCAGATCCATAGTGTTGAGCTGTCTTCTCACAGTGGAAGGATGGACATAAACGCCTTCACTTCTCTTCAGGTCTGAAGCAAGAGTGAAGCTTGATTTTCTCCCCTCTCTCAAAGATGAAAGCTTTAAGTGCTGATTATCTGATGGGGACAGTTTTGGTGGTCTGCCAGGTCTCGCACGGTTGTTAGGAATTTTTCATCATTTTCAAATTCCAGTTTCTTAAATTCTTGCTTTTTCACGTATTTTCCTATGACTTTCTGCTTCCTTATGTAAGTACATATGCATTTTATATCTAATCTCCTCCAAAACATCTGAAAAATGATGACTTGTAACTTGATTAACTTGTATTTAATGGCCGTTTTGACTGGAAATTAAATAATGAACGGTTCTGCCTAGAAGTAGTTTCTCAAAAACGTCCAGCTGCAGTGCTTTCAGAGCAAGTATATTAGGTTTCCTTACAGCAATACAGTTCAGTATGTAATATCCAGTATATAAGTTCGGGAGAGGTTAAACGGTCAACTGTATCTAGAAAGTCAGTCTGTACTTCTAGCAAAGCTACGCCAATAAACAACTTCGAACACAAGTGGAAAAACACAGTAAGAGCATAACAGCCAGTCCTGCACTGTCTGTGTTAACACGCTTGACCCCACAACAGCACTCCTCATTTAGCCCTTCTATTGTCAAGGGACACCCTGGGGAGGAAAAATAAATAAATAAAAGAGTATCTAACAATGGAGCATAGGCTGTATTTTTTTTTCCTCGTGCCTCAAAAACTCATCCAGGAAAATGATGTTTTTGTTGTCTTCTATGTTCTGTGCTCCCATGAAAAAAATATATTTAACACAACTACTGCTGTTCAGCAAATAGCAGTGCTGAAAGGACAAATAGGTTTTTGAGTCTTTCACAGAAAAAAAAAAAACCCTGTTGTTTCCAACCTACCAAACAGAAAACCTGATCACTTCTACAACTCCATTTAGACACTCATCTATAAAGGGCTCCTGATAGTCTTATAAGGTTTTAAAAGCAAGCATTTAAATCTTGCAGTCTGGAGAACCATGTTAACACTGCAATGCTAACTATGCTATTTAAAGAAATTGGAAACCCGCAGTGCTGGCCAGTTTCCTTCTGTAATTGCTGTGCTGTAAGCCTCGATCCTCTTGAAAATACACAAAAATAATGTGACCACCAGTAATATAACAACTAGTTATCCTTGCTCTTCTACTGTATCACATAGAGATGCTCCGATACCGGAATTGTACGCAGATATTCGATATTTTTCATTAACATATTTGCTAATGCTGACATTTATAAAATGTAGAAACTGTGAACTGATCCATCTAGATTAGCACTGCATGGAAATATAGGGCTACAAATGCAGTAAAAGGGATTTTAGCACAGTAGCCTTGCATCACCTAAACTTTTTACTCCAACAGTAAATATGTCCTCAGATATTGGTTTGAAAAACTGGTTAAATTTTAATATCTGTCCGATGCTGATAATTGTTTTTAAGCAAATATCTGCTGCTTCCGTTATGATTCCGATATCATTGTGCCCCCCTATTACTAAAAGATAATACAAAAATGCCACTTCTAATAACCGGAGAAGACTTTATAGCCTCCAATAGAGCCATTTCTTTACAATTTTCCATTGAACCTACGGTTTCTGGCAGCAAGAAGGTTACAGACATACTGAAGAATCTCAAACTGCTTGCATTTTGAGCTTTTTCTTTAAGAGTGTACTGCATGAACTCTCTGCTTCTATAGCTTGCGAGCTCAGAAGAACAGCATGTCCCACCTGGAATATAAAGCCAATGAATATTTCAGCTTTATAACTCTACTCTCTGTGATAATCAGCTGAAGGTTAATGCGCTGATACTGGGCAGGGAGGAGTAATATTCTTGCAAGATGAGCTAGCTCAAAAGTAGCAAGAGGTAGTTAGCACTTAGCGCTTAGCTAATTGTCTCTGGATGGAGAGGGAGGCCTAGGCCTCATTACACATATAAATGTAGCTTCCAGCGTGGAGGCCTTGTTTTAAAGTAATCCTTTTATTTTCTTAATCATGCCCCTGCTCTACAGATGGTAATTGGATCCCACTGTGCCTGAAGCTGTTGACAGAGAATGAGAGATATCACACCTTAATGATAGGGCGCGTTTGAAAAAGGAGGTTATTGTACGTACCACATAAGAGCTTTGACCTCCCGTAATGAAAAATGCGGCAGATTGCTGATGCTGAAACAGTCATGGTGATCAGTTACAGATCACCCCACAGTAACCTTGAGAATGTGCAGGCTTGCCAAAGAAAAGATGAATCAACTTAAAAAAAAATCTCTGATTTATCACATCTAAAACTTTTAAATTAGCTCTGCGAAGATAATCACTTTAGGTGTACTTTTAAGAGATTCGATTTCATTGGCCTCATTTAAAAGTTTGTAGAGCGACTGAGGACACATTTCAGCTTTTTTTTTTTCCCATGCAGCTATTATTAAACTTGAGTCTGGTTTATTTTATTTGGTTTTAATATATAGTTCTAAATGATATTATGTATATTATTTTATGCATAATACCAATGTCTATAACACATAATGTCTAAAATGAAGCAGTAATGACGGTAATGTGCTTTATTGAGATGTTGTTGTGCCACAAGGAGACGCATATTTTGTCTGACTAAAAGGAGATGGCATTCTGGGGTGGCCCTGAGAAATCATTCAGTACTCCTGTTAGCACCTCCTGAAAAATGTTCCATTTGCCTCCATGAAACAACCTATGTTTGTTTTTAGCTTTCACAAGCCCATCATACAATAAAACCCAGATCTATCGCTCACTTATATCTTGATAAAATTCATGATCACGCTCATTGCGTTGTCTTAAAATAAAGATGCTTAATGACTTATGTACTATCACAGTAATAAAATTGATATCACTCCATCTCCTTTTCTTTATGACTGATTGCTTTAATTACACGGGAGTTTGAATTCAGCCAGGCCTAACCTATGAAAAATAAGATCTATGTGACAAAACAAAGTGTATTGTTATTGCAAGAATGATACCAGCTGTAAAAAATCAAACGTTGTCCAGGAAAATTACATAGACATATGCAGATGTGCACTGAGGAAAGCATGTCCTGAAGCTGAATTCCCTCACTTGGGAACTGAATACCAACACCTGTCAAACTAAAAAAGTTAGATTGGTCTGCACAAAACAAAGTAGGTGTAGAGTTTCGACTGCCAGTGACAGCAAGCCTTTTGTGTACTCCAATACTGAAACTTAATATCTGATTTCAGCATACAGACTATGGGCCAGTGACTGTTACCCCCTATTTTCACATATTGCCTCCACAACAGCAAGAGGTATAGGCCCCCCTTCATATGTTTCAGCACCCCTGTAGCACTCCTGTAAAAACTAAAAATTCTGGCACCGCCCCAAAATATATCTTTTTGAGAAATATCTAAGAGGAGCTTTCAGCACATGTACCCCTTTCAGAGTTCTGAAAAAAGGGTTTATAAATTGCCTTTGGAACAAAGTGTCAGACAGATCATTCTTTCCAATTGAAAAAGGTCCAAAGTAGGAGCAAAGCAATAATGAAACAATTCTGACAAAAAAGGAAAAAGGATTGGGTTTGTACTAAAACTGACACAAACCGATTGCCGAGGTTTGCTTCTGTTTTACTACAGAACGCCCAAAGGGTCAAAAGCACAGACCACTGAATCCCACCTTAAAACGTTTAGATCTCGGACCTACCCCAAACCATGGGAGGATGGATGTGGAAGTCAGATCAAACCACATTAGACCAGCTAGATCACATCAGACGGCTCACGTTGAGCTTTTGGGGAAAGAAATTTGGTTGTGCATCATGTGTGCGATACTTGGGGTGATTTCACAATGCAATTAACATCTGACCACTTTATCATCGGAGTCGACGCTCCAAAACACCTGATATTCTTCTAAGACTCGCCAACTGATAAACATCAACCGTGGTCCCAGCTGCCTGAGTGTCGTTGCATGATGTGTTCCGTCTTTCTTCATCAAATTGCCTGCGATTTCCACAGACAGGCATTTCTCCTTTCAAAGCTGACAGCTTTATCAATGTAGGAAGCCAATAGTAACAAGTATGTCAATGACGTCCAATCAGTCATGCCGAGATATTATCCGTGGAATGGTGTGAAATTGACAGCGATGGGCGCAACACAGACGATTTACTATTTCTGTAGGAAATGACATCTTAGTTTCTGCTTTGAAATACAGACGTGACAGTATCTGCCTCTGCCGTCCAGCAATATTCATGATCATCAGTGGCTTTCAAAAAATGAAAAGGTAAAATATAAATAAATAAACCCGGAGGCTTTATCTCACCTGGCCAGGTTTTGCATCCTCACAGATTTTAGTTTCATAAGGGGTGGCCAGCTCAGGCGGGTTGTCATTCACATCCAGAATACGGATGCTGACTGCAGTCTGGGAAGCCATGGACTGGTTATCTGGAGGAAAAGGCAGAATGAGAGAGAGAGCATTAACATTCACAATGAATGCAGCTGGATTTTTTTTTTCTTATTTATGTACAATGTAGAGCTTAATATAAAATGCTGTGTATATATACAGTACTGTGAAAAAAACACCCCTCATTTAATTAATATCCAGTCAAGAAGTACAAGTTCTTCATTTCTGAGGAGATTAGATAGAAGATAATCCACTTGCACAGGGAAGAGGGAAGGCAGGTGAAAATAAGTGGAAAAACTGAGTTTCCCAAACAGGAGTTCAAAAATGATTAAAAGATACAGCGAAAAATGGAACTCCTGACAACTGTGCAAGACCTGGTAGACCACCAAAACTGTCCCCCTCAGATATCAATAAGCCATTACACACTTTAATATGGCATTTCTTTTTTTGCAAATGTTAGTGCTGATAGTTGGTGATTTTAATATATTTGGAGAAAAAAATAAAACACAAAATAGAAATATTATATATATATATATATATATATATATATATATATATATATAAAAGTACCACACCTTTTGCACAGGCAACATTCTGTGTTTCATTTTTTTTTAACAGTAAGTGTGTATTAAAATGTGAAGTGTTCTCTGTAGAGGATGTTTTAACTTACTTTCACCTAGAAAATCAACAAATGTAATTTGACCAGGGATGCCTAAACATTTGCATACAACTGTAATGAGAAAAGAAAACAGACCAAAAAGAGGAAGTCCACACCTCAACATCACCGAATGTGTTTTGGATTACTTGGATCTTGAGAAGCATAAAAAGCCACTGACTTCTAAGACCGAACCTTGGAGGTGTGGAAAAATATCCCTGCAGAAACTGCAAGTTTAGTTGTACTTCAGTCACCCTTGTAGTTCCCTGCAAAGTGTACTGCACAGGGTATTCAGACATTTAAGGGTGATTCCAAACCATAGGGAGTAAAAGATTTAGTTGAATGGGAACCTCAAACTGTACAGGGAGTAGTGAACAAGTTTATCACTTCATAGGATGCTAGAGGAAAGTTTACCCATCAGTCATTGCAGGTCTCTTGAAGACACGTTTGATTATGAGAGTGCAGGACATTTTAAATAAAGGTATGTATCAACTGCAGTTACCTTAACCAACACCCTGTGCTGAAGTGTGTAGGGAATATAACGGTACCTAACTGCCATTTTGTCTGAAAATTAAATAAATGAATGGTGGTCTTCATTTTACCTTACAGACCAATAACTGATCACTTTAGAGTGCACAGTTCATAGCACATGAACTTAATTTTTTGGCCTTCATTCTTTTATAATATAAAACCATTTTGCATCATATTCATGATGCACATAGGATCAACCTTCTCATGAAGATTGTTCCATCAATAAAATACAATACACCACTTAGGGCTTAAAAACAAGCTGTTCCCCTAGATGTAGAGCATATCAGTAGGGTAGCAGCGCTTGCCCTTTCTGATTCTAGAACATCATCCCCACATCCACAGTGTAGAACATTGTTCTCATTAGAGAGCTAATTTTTCTCAATGTTTGAGAGGAAATCAGGAATTAACAAGCCTATTTTCAGATCAAGCTTGGCTACAGTACACGGCATGCAACTTTAATGATTAGAGTGCACTGTTGGGGTTTCCTTAATGATATAAATATACATGAACGGGCTTAATAGTGGGCTGCAAAATGATTCTCATCATGTTCTTGTTAAGATATTAAAACATGGGCGGACTAGCCTATTTTCATTGTGAGATTCTGTTAAGGCCTGTGAGCTGTAGGAGGCGGAATTTGTTCATTATGACTTTAAATTAGCAAAATCAACTAGAAACTGCATCTTCTCTGAAATGGAAACTGACTGATCCTCAATTAAATTCATCTACCACATCATTCCATTAAATCAGATACGTTTAAAACCCCAATGTCACGACAGGCCATTGGTATTTGTGATTAGCTATCATAATCTTCATCATTAGTCTAACTTAATGCAGTTGATGGATATATTTAATTTTGAGAACATAAGCATGTGGTAATAAGTAACGGTGAACCGTATGCAAATATAATTAAAGATTTTTCAACGCTTATCTTTAATTAGCATGTCTACGTCAATCCATTCTATGCCTCTTAACAGCTTAATCTGCTACACGCAGTGATATACATTCATTAACAGAGGGAAATATATTGAAACGTTGATAGATGATCCATTAGAGGCGCAGTACTCCTGGAACAATATGTCGAGTCTCAGACGTACTGATCTAGGATTAGGTGCTCTGCTCTGTGAATGAGATTTGCTTGAACTACTATGTTAAAACAATCCCATTCACATGTCAGAGTCATAAAAACTTATCCAAAATCAGTAAGCCTACTTCCATTTATTTGATACGTACAACCCCTGGGCTAAATTTAACTACTCATGTGCGGCTGGGATATTAAGGAAAAGGATTTCAGCAGCTTAGAGAGATGGCGTGCATTCGCTGCAGGCTCACCAGATGTTGGAAGTCCACATATCTTACCAGATAGAAAATATACTGAAAAAAAATTCTTCTTTAGATTTCCCTGAACTCTACTGAGCTCACAATACGCTGCTGTATGAGGAACGGCCTCGCATGCTGGAAGTGCAGGAGAGCTTCAAGGATGGCAGGGTAATAATGTGTTTCCATCACAAAGGTCATGTGGGCCCCCAGAAAATGCCACTAAAATGACTTGATTCAATGCTTGAAGGATTTTATCACAGGAAGAAACATCTGGAAGACGGACAGAGTAATAAATGCTGAATGAAAACACCACAGTAAATGTTCATTAAGATATGATATGGCTTAAAAAACAAGAAAGCATCTCCTCCCATGAACTCACATGGTTCTTTGTCACGATGCCACTTTATTTCCCCTAAGAACCTTTCAGTGGATTGTTCTTTAAAAAACTTTTTTGTCAAAGTGTGAAGAACCTGTTTCTGAAGTTGAAAAAGTCCCCAGTGTGTAAAAATAGATTTTGTCCTGGGGGACCAAAGTGTGATGTTTGTTGTAGGATAAGGGGCCAAAAAGATAAAACAGTTAGCCAGTATAAGAGGAGAAACTGGTGTACTTTAAATGTTCCAATGATTGCTTTACAAGTATTTTTCATGAAGAAAGTACATGATTATTTCAACATAAGTAACTGATTTTGAGAAAGTAAGACACTCTTTCAACATAATACATCAGAAATTTGAGAATGTAAGTATTTATTTTGACTCCGTTTCGAAACACATCTTAATGTTCAGGTGGAGGGGTGAGATGAACATGAGTTCTCTCCTGAGTGCATGTGGAAAGCATGCAATATTGTAAAATCCCTGTTTACTTTCAGTTAGCATGTCCTGATGGTTAGGGATCTGTATGATTTTGGACTTGTGGTGAGCATAACCTCTTAGCTACATGCACTGTATCAAAGACTGACATTTCTGCAACAGAAGCTAGAGAAAAGAAAACTTTAGGCAAAATATGCACTTTTATGAGTGTAAAATACTCCCAAAGTATTAGGAGATCAGTTTAAAATAAAAAAAAAAAAAAATCATTAAATAAAAAAATGTGACAGAGAATACATATATTTGAGAAATTCTCTCTTTTCTCTGACTATCTTTTGACACAAACAGCATCTGATTTACTACTGATAAATCAGAGTGGCTGCTTCATTATGATCTACCAGTTTTTGCACTTTTGAGTGGGAAACTTCACTGAGGCAAAAGCACAAAAGAGTAGTGTCCTCCCCTTTGATATTTTTATAGGCACTAACAGGCCATTGTGCATATTTAACCAATCACAGCAGACACTTTTTATGCCTAGATAGGGTTGGTGATGGCACAGAACGTTAGTAAATCTGTCCTTATGTTATTGCTAAAGGTACTTAACAAATAAAAAAATAAATAAATAGGAAGATTTTATTTATTTATTTTTTTTTAAACAGCTATATCTACAGTCCACTCAGGTCACTGAGGCTAGTAGTGGGTGATATACTGAATCATATCAGGAATACTGGGGAAAAAATATACAGAGCAATTCTTCCTGTGGGTCATGGATTTTGTCATAACTGTAATATGGTATGCTACAAAAAAGCACAGATAACAATGTTCAAACCAAAATCAGAATCATCACTTGTTTGTCTTGGTGGTGCACACATGTATGACATGTAACATACTAAACATGCCAGGCTGCAATCAGACTGTTAATACATATTTAACTAAGGGACAAATAAACTAAAAATACAATATAAAGAATAAGAAAGAACAAAGAGCCAATTTGAAATGAGCTAGAGATGTATGAATATCTGTATATATGCTGATATAAATATATTTACATATGCAGGTCTGAGTAAACATATAATAACTATTATATACAGAATATTACTGAATGAAATGAACATTTGTTTAAAAAAAAAACATCTGTACAGATGTGCAAACAAGCATTGTTACAGAGGAGTAACTAATACAGAACGAGAGGTTTATTAGTTTCAGTTTAAATGTTCACTGTGGTGAGCACTATAGATCTGAGGAAAAAGCTGTTAGCATGTCTGGTTATGCTGGTTTTGATGGCACTGAATCTTCTACCAGAGGGGAGTGGTTGGAAGAGGTGATGGCCAGGATGAGACGGGTCATCTGTAATTTCGCCAGCGTCCTTTATCACCCTGCTGTTGTAGATGTCCTGAAGCGTTGGCGGACTACATCCGATGTTCGTGAGAGATGGATAAGGCAAACTACATGTTTATGGATGATGTGAGGATGAACTCAGTGATCGCTGTGTAGAACTGGACCGTCAGACTGGGGCAGGTTTAATTTCTTCAGCTGTGTCAGGAAGAACGTTTTCTGCTGTGCTCTGTTGGTGACGTGTTCCACTTTGGGTCCCTGAATATGGTGGTGCCTAGGAGCCTGAGTGACTCCACACTGGAAACCACAGAGCCACTGAAACCACAGATGGGGGGGGTGGGGTTGGGGGGGTGGTAATGGAGGGTTGCGCCTGAAGTCCACCACCATCTCTACAGTCTTC